GACAAAAGTTCCCTCGGTTCCTTCTCTAGAACACCTTTTCTCAGTTTCTCCATTTACTTTTGTTTGCCTTGGATTCTAGTGGAACAATCCTCTAGTGAGGTACTTTGATAAACCCTGAAACCCTTGCCTCCATTTCTGATTTTTAACCCCCTTCCTTTAAGTTTTTGGTCTTCCACCTTGAAGACCAAATCTTCATCACTTCCATTACTAGAACACCTTTACTCAGTTTTTCCATTTGATTTCGTTTGCCTTGGATTCTAGAAGTTGATAAGCGCCGAATATTGTATATTTAAGGGCCCTTAATAGCATTAGTTAAGTCCATTATTTGGTTTTAGTATATAGATTATCTTCATTTTTGTGTTTTTGTGTATTTTCAGGTTTATTCTCTAAAAAGAAATAAAAATAAGGTTTTAAGGGCTTTTGAAGAACAAGTCATATCTGGCCTCAACATCAAGTGATTTTGAAGAAAAGATGGCCCAAATATTCCATAGATACATTCAGCAATGCATAAGGAAGAAAGTGAACTCATTGGGCCAAGACCAAAAACCAAACAAAGAAGTGGAACTATTGAGCCCAAGGATTACATTGCGTTCAGACGCCAACTCCATGCACAAATCTTGCATCCGGACACCAAGAGGAATTCGAGGCAAATAATTGCAAACTTCAAAAGAAATTTACTCCAGTAGCAAATCAAATTCATGTCCGGACGCAGGACCCCGCGAGCGGCCGCTGGATGCCGCAGCTACACAATGACACTCCTCTGCGCGAGCAACAAGGCACCATGGCACCTCGCGTCCGAACACCAACCTGCGGACAGCAATGCTGTCCCACTCTCTCTTGGTCAAAGTTTGTTCCCTTTTATTAAGGAACTTAAAAATGTTACGAAATGAGGTGTTTGGCAGCCCATTTTGGGGATTAACACAGGGGAAAAAGCTTGTATTGTTTATCATTGAATTATTAGAAAATATATTACAAAGGGAGAGGGGATTTTTAGGGTTCATGTTGAGTTTTGCATCCATGGGGCTAGAGTGGAATTCATCTTCTTCTTCTTCAATCTTTGGAGTTGATGCTATGTCCATGAGGAACTAAGTCCCTTACTAGGGAGTTGATGTAATTTAAACCAAGTAAACATGTTGTAATTGTATTTTCAATTTGGGAATTCATCTTGTATATATGTGATTTCATAAATTAGAAGTTGTTACATTGAATTAATGTATGTGATCTTCATTTGCATATATAATTATGTTGATATGTATATCTTATCTTAGAATTCATATTGGCATGACTATACACTTTATATTCCTATACTGATAATGGAAATGAATTTATGAAATGGTTATATTGGCATGTTATTTGAGAATTTGTATAGATTATACTTAGGGAAGATGGACCATGCTACACCTTTAGATTAATTTATGTTAGGTAGATGGTCCATACCTACTGAAGATAATTTATGATAGATAATTGAATTTCATGTGCTTTTACATACAATTGAAGGACCTTGATAGGCCATACCGAGGGAGGATAATTCATACTACAACTTAGTTTAGGTGGATGAACCATTCCAACCAAAGATGATTATGCTTAGTTCTGAAATGTATGAATTTCTAGAAGATGTTGTGGTTGTTTTATACTTCTACACATCATTTTATATACATAGTTGTTTATCCCCAAGTTGAATGCAAGTAAGCATGTTTATGAGGTTTTGGTGAAGTTAAATTCTAGGCTTTTTCTCTAAAAGTTTAATTTATTTAAATTCTTTTTATTCACTATTTTTATGCAATTTCAATTCATAGTTTTAAGTGACAAAAAAATCAATCAATCATATCTCTAATCAAATTTTAAGTGATTTTACAACTTTGGTTGCCATAAACTAGCATTCTTTGTGGTTTGACAAACCCCTTATAATAGCTCTATTCTATAATGATTTGTTCTATTGCAAGTGGTGATTTTAATTGGTAAACAAATTACTCGCATCAATTTTTGGCGCCGTTGCCAGGGAATGCATACAGTTTTGTGACTAAAGTTTAAAAATTACCTTTTGTTTGATTTTGTATATATTCTGTTTTTGTGGTTTTTGTGTGTTTTTATGTTGCTAGGAATTCAAAACTTCCCAAGTGAATTTGAAAATTTGAAGTCTTAAGGACTCCAGGTAAGTTTTTGAAGGTTCTAGTTCATCTGATATTATTGCTTGGCCCTTGTCGATGCTATATCAATTTTCTGCTCTGTTCAAGCATAGGTCCTCGTTGTGGCCATTTTAATTTGTGTTTCATTTTGCTGAATTGAGGAGAAAGGGATCAATGTATGTGGATGTTTTGGTGAAGGGTTGTTGTGATTTTTGTGATTGTTAGTTGATAGTAAGTCGTAGGTCATTAATTGTCTCTACCACTTCTTGAGGAAACTATTGATATTACTTTACTTGAAAGGACTCTTAGACAACAAAGAATGAATCTTAGGAATCCTGAAACTATAAGAGAATTTAAAATTGAAGTAGACAACATGGCTAATAATCTTGAAAATGCTAATCTTGAAGATCCTCGAAATGATCCTAGAGTTAAAAATGAAAATATAGCACCTATGACTCTTAGGGATCATTTTGTACCCTCTACATATATATCTCCATCGTGCATTGTCATGCCTAATGTTGATGCTCATCAATATGAAATCAAGTCCGTCACAATCCAAATGCTTCATCTTATCATGGGTTTGATAATGAGGACCCTTATAAACATCTTAATGAGTTCCTAGAAATCTGCTCCCCCATCAAGATAAGAGACTTCACCCAAAATGCACTTCACATGCGTCTCTTCCCATTCTCGCTAAAAGATAGAGAAAAGTATTAGTTGAACTCTCTTGTAGCAAATTCCATCACTACATAGATCCAATTGCAACAAGAATTCCTAAAAAAGTATTATCCTGTGAGTAAGACCAACCAAATGCGTCATTCCATTCTTAGTTTTTCCCAAATTGATGGAGAACAATTCTATGAGACGTAGGAAAGACTTTAAGATCTTCGCAGGAAGTATCTGCACCACCAAATTCCAAAATGGCAATTGGTGCAAGCCTTCTACGATGGTTTAACCGAACCACACAGACAATTAATTGATTCTTCTTATAAGGGCATGTTCATGTCCAAAAACCCAGATGAAGCATAGACTTTGCTTGAGAACATGAGCGAAAATTCTATTCAACATAGTTCTCGTAGAGACCCTATTTCCAATATCGAGAAACCCTCAAATCTGTGCCAACCACGAACTTTAAGGGAAGAATCGTCTCAAGTGGATGCCATAGCACACAAGGTTTTTCAGCTTGTGGCACCACATATCTCTTCTTCTTCTCAAAATTCTCCATAAAGTGTTATGTGTGCATATTGCACAAGCATTTTTCATCATACAAAAGATTGCCCTACATCGGAGCAATTTTCTAGAGGTACACAAGAGCAGGCCAATGCCATATTCTCTCACTCTGGAAATAATCCTTACTCCAATATATACAATCCGGGTTGGAGAGATCACCCAAATTTCTCGTGGAGGCAACCAGACCCACAAAATTCAGCATTCCAAGGTCATGAGCAACCAAGTCAGTCTAATTCTCAACCCATAAACCGGTCATTCCAAGTTTCTTCAAGCTACCGGCCTCCATTCAACAATAATCCATCTGCTGTGAATCCTCCTCCTTCATCAAATTTTACATTGGAAAAAATAAAATAAAATAAAATAAAAATAAAAAAATAAAGGATTCAAATAGTTAAATCTTGGCTGCTATTGGAGGAATGCAATCATCACTCCAAACCACGGTGCAATTTGTCCATTCGCACTCTTAATCAATATCGAAAGGGCAATATGTGATTAATGAAATCCCTCCTCCGAGTGGACCACATCTTGAGCAAGCCCAAGCAATCACCACACTTCGGAGTGGAAGAATTTTGGATAATAAGGTTGATAAAAAAACTGAAATTCTTGCTCCCAAGAATTCAAATCTTCTAACCAAAAATCTGAAAATCAGTCAGGAAATTCCCAATCCGCCAATCCCGAATATTGAGACATCTTATGAGCCCAAGGCTCCTTTTCCTCAACGCCTCAAAGAGTCCACACATTTCGGGAACAAGGGCGATGAAATTCAGGAAATGTTGGAAATCTTTAAGCAAGTAAGGATCAACATTCTTCTCCTTGATACCATTAAGCAAATTCCACCTTATACTAAATTTCTCAAGGATTTCTGTACTCAAAAACGCATTTGCAAGAGCAATATTCCTAAGAATGTGAGGTTGACTGGGATGAATAAATTATAAATTAAAATTTTCTTAATATAAATTTTAAAACAATAAATATTTGGTTTATACCGAGTATAGAAAATACTGTATTTGTATAATTCTATGAATTTTTACTTCGTAAATTTAAATTTATGGCACATGAGAACAAGTAATATCTGGTTTGTGATTATTTTCTTTTGCCCTTTCACTCCAATTTTAGAGAATTTTTAAGCACCATATACCGTATGTTAATTCTAACATGGCTTTACCAATTCAGATTTAGAAGTTTTCAGCGTTTTCTCATTCAGGTTGGCTATCACTACTCAGATATATATATATATATATATATATATATAGATATATATAATCTTATATCTAAGGGCCGCTCAAAGCCTCCAATACCCCTATGGAGGCTATATGATTATAATCGTCCCTTCTACTAAAAGGAAGCCAAAACCTTATGTAATCACCAAAGCTGTCTTCTTTATCTCTCTTCCAACTCTCCTCTCTTTCGATTTGGGTTTTTTCCCTCCATTCCAAAGCATGACCTTGTTTTCCACTATGAACGTTTTTTTTTTTTTTTATAAGTAAAAATATATTAGAAAGACGTTCAAAAGGGGAAACGCGCCCCTAATACACAAAAACGAAAGAGCAAAAACCAAACCTATGGACCAACAGAGTCCAATAGAACAAAAAAGTCATCAATCGAGGAGCAAGTGCTACCTCTGACATAGCAGAAAAGAGAGCGTAGGATAAAATCTATGAACAACTTTTTTTTTCTTTTTTTCTCTTTTAGTAATTTAAGTTTGAAAACTTTAAAATTAGATTGTAAATAATTCAAAAGCCGAAAATATACCATTAGATTGGACTACCGCCTATGGTAACTACTAACTAGGTTTAATATTAAACCACCACCCGCTGTAAAACTACTCACTTACAATGGCAATGAAGCCACAATTACGAAATAAAGTTGCAAACCTTTTTTTTCCGGGTTTAGTTATGCCTCTTCAGAAAACAGCAGCATAAATTATAGAATAGCACAGCTGCCACTTTCAGCTCGCTTGCGCAGCTCCTCCCTGTCCCTCTGGGCTCTCTCAAGAATGGCACACCAGCCATTTTCAGCTCGCCTGTGAAGCTCCTGTGTCTCCCTCTGGACTCTCTCTACCTGTTCCCTCAGCTTATGAATTTCATCACTAGATTTCATTTGAGCAGCTTTTGAAATCTCTTTCAACTTCAATCGCGCAGCAAATAGCCCGCTTGAGACCATTTGTGATGGAAACCTGCAACAAATCGTCCCTGTTAAGTGAAGGGAAGTGCCTCTCTAAATCCTATAACCAAACTAAGAGAATAACAGTGAGATGCCGAATAGCCAGCTTGAGACCCATGTCCAGCCGCAATGGTCCAAGCATACTAGCCCCCTAACACGGGTAACAAGCAAAAGAAATCCGCTTGAGACCTATGCCCAGTTACAATGGTTAAACCATACGCCACTTCTAGAAACCAAGCATGGGAAACACAAAAAAGCAAGGCATACGTTAGACCAATGACCGGACCATACGCCGCTTCTTGCCACCAAGCATGGGTAACACGAAAGCAAAGCCTGCATTAGACCCATGCCCAGACCAATTCCACTATAAATCATCGAAAAGCAAACAATTCCCTCTCCAATCACCCATGCCCAGACCAATTCCCTTTACACTATAAATCATCGAAAAGCAAACAATTCCCTCTCCAATCAGAAAGATATTACGATTAAGCGTAAAAGGTCTCACTTTTAACACACTCTCCCAAGGAAGAGTCCCTTGTTTTAAAACACAATTCTAAAAGTTAAAACCTCTTAATGCATTTGTTTTTAAACTAGGCTACCTAAAGACAATCTTTGTTTTGAAGATCATCCCAAACCACCAACATACAATTTGCAGCAAAAAGTGGGAACAGTTTATAAAAGTTTCACTGTCCCTGCAAGAGAGAGGTTCAAGCCATTCCAAACAGAAATTTTGACAAAAATTGTCAATCAAATAAGCACAACTAGCCTTTCTTAACTCTCCATCAACCATAGCAATCCCAAATATTTCACTGGTAAAAGCCTTTCCTGAACTGAATAAGTCTTCACAGTCCTAGAAAACACAATCAAACTCTTCTCATTGCTAACCTGAAGACAAGACAGACTGAAAATACTGTGAAAAATTGAGCAAGGATTAAGCTGTTCCAAGATGAGATTCAACTATCAAAAACAAATCATCTGCAAAGAAAATGTATCCTAGCCTTCACTACTAACTAGCATAATTGAATTGGACCACTATGAACAGCCTCTTCCATCAAAAGAGAAAATGTTCAGTAATCAGGGTGAATAAAAGGAGCGACAAGGAACATCATTGCCTAGTGCCATACTTGACAAACCCTTCTTCCTAGAAAAATCCCTTACACAAGCTGAAGTAATATTTTGACGCCTACAGCAATTGAATCTTAATTTCATGACACTCATTTTAATTTTATCGCATCACTGCTCTTTCTACCGAGAGAATATTAAAGTTAGAATAAGACCATATATAATTGTTAAGTTGCACGAGTATGGGGTTGCTCCCTACATAGGGGTTGGTAACTTAGATAAGTGAAGCAAGGTCTTCCAGGAATGATACAAGCCAGAACTCTTTTTTGGTTGCTACGTCTTACCAACATATCAAGAATCAAATTGAGGTTCTCCTCTTTCTTTTTTTTCTTTTTTTCCTTTCTAATGCCAATGTAAAACTTGAATCCTAATCTCTCTTTTTTTTTTCTTTCTTTGGTAATAAAGTTTGGTAAATTTAAAATTAGAAAAAAAATAATTCAAAAGTTGGGCCAGTTCAGGTAAATTTATTTATATTTTCTTTACTTCTTTTCAACCTAATATTTTTGGCATTAAACTTATTCTTAGTAAAACTACGCTGCCCACCTGCAGTAAGATCATCAATGCTCCAAGCCAAGCCAAATGAGGTAAATTTCCTTCTTACGAGCAGCATGAATCTTTTTTCAGATACATTGAAAGTTAAAGAAACAAAGTCTGAGAAGATGATGAAGATCTAATATACTCACAGATACATAACTTAGCTAAAATGTTAAACCACCACTGTAACTATTTACATAGGAAATGAAGCCACAATTACTCAATAAAGTTGCAAACATTCTGTAACGGTTTTAATTATGGCTCAAACTTAAATCAAACTCCATTTCACCCAAAATATATCACAAGCATATATAAATTTATTATAGAATGGCACACCTCCCACTTTCAGCATGCTTGCGAAGCTCCTCCGTCTCCCTCTGGGCTCTCTCTAGATGTTCTCTCAGCTTACGAATTTCATCATTAGATTTCATTTGAGCAGCTTGTGCAATCTCTTCCGCCTTCAGTCGTGCAGCTTGCTCTTCAGCCAACTGCTGCTCAAGCCTACAAGTGGTCTCTCTAAGCTTCAACTCAACCTGTAGAACAATGTAACTGTAAATGCCAACAGAATTTCTGAACTAAAAAACTTTTAAACGCTAGTCTGAATCATACATTTTTCATATGAAAACAAATGATTCATCTTAATCTTAAACATTCTCCCCACTAAATTACAGAAGTGGTGAATGCCTATTGCGCAGAAGCTCTACATTCTCATTTTCTGGACTGATAAATACATGTCAAAGAAAATTTGGCATTGACATCTTAACTGCACTGCGTTTTATAAAATATGCATCAATACCAGCAATAAGTATCTCTGTTACAGGAACAAAATCTAAAACATGACCTAAGAAGAGGGTAGGAGCTTACCTACCAGGTAGAGAGACAAGGGAAATTTTACATACTAGCACAGCATTTTAGATCAGTATTGATAGATTGCATAACAAGGTCAAAACTAATAGACACAGGATCAAAATTTATTCTCCAGTTAGAATATCTCGTGAGGATGCAATAAAGATGGCTAACAGGAATCAAGCCTTTTAACTCCTCCAGATGTTGCCAGAACGTGTAGAAAAATTAGAAATACATTTATATACCTAACATTCTGTTGGGTATGCATATTTGTGTACCTAACATCTAAATATTTTGATGAAATGGTATATAGTTTCCAAGGTAATAAGCTTTCAGTAAGTTAGTTTATTCAACACTGCCAAGCCCACAATTATAACAAAAAAAAAAAAAAAAGAAGGCTGGAGTGTGTAATTTTTCTATACATTCTGCCCAACCGTCAATTATGAAAAAAAGTTAGTTTTTCTACGCATTTGGCCCAACCCTTTTTCCCCCTTCCCCAATGGGCTTTGTGAAACCGCCCACTAGGCCCAGCCCGCGAGCATGATCCACCCCACTCCCCTTTACTTGTGCTGTCACGTGCCCTCTCTTTGAAATTCAAACCCCTTTTCTTATCCGGATAAGTGCAATGCTGGGAATCCCTTGCATGCCAACCACGCGTCCCTTCTTCTTTACCCTTGCATCCACGCTCTGCCCGCGCGTGAAAACCATTCCATCTTCTTCTTCGTTTAGGACCCTGCAACTCCGGTGCCAGCCATTTCTTCCCACCTCCTCTCTGCAACCTCAGCCATTCATCTTCCGGAAGAACAGTACTATCATCCCTTCCGTCAAGTCCCTCAGTAGTTGGGACAAGCTCTGGATACCTCTCAACCACCAGATACACCCTGTAACAGAGTCGTTCATCGTTCACAAGAATCCACTCCAGGACGACGCCATCAGCATCGACATAGATGATGACCTTGCTCGCATCCTTCCTTTCGTCTGCTTCTACTTTTCTGAAACCCCCACAGGTGTTTCCAATAGCTTCAAATAAACCATAAGACCACAAATGCAGTGGTAAGGCAAACACCATCACTCTCTTCACCTTCTTTTCCTTGAGAATACCACAACACCCCACACGAAAGGACCACACATCCAAACGTAATTCAGCCTCTCCCCAGGTCAGTTTACCTTCCCTAAAAACCCTAATCGCCTCAGCATGCGACGGCAGTCTGAACAGCAAAAGGGAATCCGGCAACGGGGAAACCATCACGCCAGTAAAAATCTTCCAAGCCCTTGAAGCAGTCTTCAATCCTTGCACAATCCTCCACATTACGATCAAACCTTCCCACCAGAAAACTTTGAATGACATCTCTTTTTTTCCAAATGCTTTGATCATCCAGAAAGAAATCAACACCCCTTTTTGACACATTCGTCTCCACAACACCATGCTTTGGAAGATTTGGGATCGTCGCCACCTCAACGTACGATCGATTCCCAGATCCCATCATCCCGCATACAGGGCAGATCTAGCTCTCATCTCCCAAACTTAGTTCCAAAATTCCATGCTTGGCAATTGATTCATCGGCTTATCAGAGACTGAACAACGGCGAGTCTCTTTCATCACAACTGATTGCAAAGTTGATCAAAATGGGGAAGATAATGTGGAAAAGGAACCTTTGGGAGAGACTAAGGGAATGAAAATTATAAAACAAGAAAAAAAATGGTAGTAGAGTGATGAAGTGCTACAAGCAATAAAAGAAAAGAAAAAAAGGAGTAAATTACTTTAATGTAACTTAATAATAATAATGTCTTCTCTTTTGAATTACAAATCCCAAATTAATTCAAATAAAATAATTATCCTCTCCCTTCTCTCTCTAGAAGAGTCAAAGCACCATTACCACCGCCACAGCCACAACACCATTACCACTACCACACCACAACCACCAACACGCTTACCCCTAGCAATCCCTTAAAGTAACTATTATATATCAAGTGATCAACGTTTAATTTCATGAAAGTACTTGCATGAAAGAAAATACTGGTCCAAAAGTATTTGCTCTCTCTCCCTAAACCTTTATCTACATCTCTTCTTTCTCTCTCTTATACTTGAATGAAAGAAAGTTAACCTAAATCACATATTGACCGGATTCTTTTCTGCACAAAAAGAGACATTCATCATCCTCCTTGCCTTAATCCCATATGAATAGGGTTGGCCACATGAATTCTTTTTCCATTCTTTTCTATTACAAGCCTTCTTTCCTCTAATATTTAACTTTTTAAACTCATTTCTAATGATTTCATATAGAAAACCAACCTTCGTGACAATTAACCCAACGGGCCAAATCCATGTTTGACCTAATTTGCTATCTAAAACTCTCTCCAACCTCTTAACCTAGTTTACTATTTTGTAGAGATAATCAGATCCATATCTCCCTAATTTCGCACTTGGACAATACTAGTTCAAAATCCCCCATCAATGTGAATGCTTCAAGTTCAAAGAAACCCAAAACATTTTTTCAACTCCAATTTGCTCCAATTTTCAGAGTTCAACCTTTGAATCTTCAATTTTTCTAATGTTCAATCAATCGCAGAGAAAAAGAAAGAAATCATAAAAGAGAGATTTTCTTTGATCACTATATTGATTCTATTTTTGTAAGTTAGAAAGAAGAGTTTTATAGACAGAAGTTTGAGAGTAACAGAAGCAATGGATTCAATTACAAACACCCGAACTGCTGGAAGAGAGGTGAGAGTTTTATAATGGAGGTGGTTGGTCTAAAGATAGTGTAAGTACAGGGTAAGCATGCTGACATTTATTGTGACACTCAATACTGGTGATAGGTTCTTGCCAATGCAGGCAGAGAAGTGGTGTCACTGGGGTGCCACCATAGTAATGATTAGTGCAAGTGGTTAGGTGGCTGCTAGAGGTCGATGGCAGTGATTTCAAGACACATAGACATTGTAGAAGCAATTAATTCTACTTGCAGATATGGTAATAGCGTCAACGATGATTTTGGTGATTTTTTTAAGATAACGAAGATGGCTGGTGGTTTTATGATTGACAGTGGTTGGTGGTTATGGTAGTATGAATGTAGTGGCAATGGAAGTTGGTGATATTGAAGAAGACAGAAAGGAGAAGAAAGAAGAGATGCGATATTTTAACACGTGCACAAAAGACATCTCAACTTCTTCGACAAGTTCATTGTAGAGAAAAATAGTGTTTCCAAAGATTGATTATAGCGATTTCCTTCATTGACCCTATCTAACAAAAACAGAGAGAAAGAAGGTGGTTACAGAAACGAGGTCATCTTACTTTTGAAATAAAGAGTTGGAATCTATAATTGCCAGATACCTCAAGAGAGTTTATAGTGCAATGTTTTTTATACTCATATTATATACAGAAATTTTTATTGGATTTGGATCTTATTTGCATCAAATCAACCAAAACTCAAGCATGGTCCAATGATAGTTGGATTTCATAAATCAGACTTGAATTAGAGCCAACTGATCGAATTTGGTTCATGGTCTTATCATGATTGGACATGGATTCTGGTTTTGCAAAGCAAAATGAGATATGTGTTCCTTTGCATTGAACAGAACTGCTTTTCTGGCCAACTGTTGAAAAGTAAGTAAAAATGAATTTTTGGTCAACTGTTTGTTTCCTCCTCCAGCAATCATCAGGTGATGCAAGGACAAAGTGGCACTGGCACTGGCAGCCAGGTTCAAACCAGAATTTAGACACATAGCTTGAAGATTATCAAGTAAGACCATTACCCAGTATTACAATTAGTCCAGTGGAGCATTCTCACACTTGGAAACCCTAACATTTTACCACAACACCAAGCAACAGACCGCAGAGATTTATAGAGCATGAGTTAAGAAGAAATACGCATGCAACAATCAAAATTTATCTCAGCTTATCATACCATTTCAGTTATTCGCTTGAGCTGCTCCTCATATGATCTCTGCATCTGCTCCTTCAGCTCAGACATCTCCAGTTTAGTATACCCCTCCAAGGAATTAACCTCTTCTGTCTGATCACGGAGTTTCATAGCTCCCTTCTATGAAAAAAAAAAAAAAAAAAACATTGTGATCATCATGATTTCTTGATAGGCATCATCTTAAAATATTCAGTGACAATGTAACCACTAAAAAGTAAAAATACAAACCTGTAGTTCAGTAAATATCTCATCTGTATATGGCTGTCCACCATTCTGTGCTATGACCATGTTTACAAGGGAAAGAAGCTGCTGAAATTGTTCAACTTTCTTGCTTTCATCCTTGGTCTTGTTGTCAAAAAGCACCCGCCGATTGTCACACAATTTCAGGATTTCCTACACAAATTTTATAAATGATTAGTTTATTTTAGTTTTTCATTTAATGAAGTAATCAGACAAATCAAGATGCCTAAAGTTGCAATACATTTAAGTGAGAGAAAGTGTGACAACAGCAACATACAAGTCAGAAAACAAGAACAGAAGCACAGTGCCCAATAGATCAATACTATACAAAATTGTAAAATAATTTCTCATTGATGCATGTTATCATCAAATTAAGCATAATACCTAACTGTTGTACAGTATTGTATGAGTTGTCACACGTGTACAATTAGTATTATATGAGTTGTCATCTACCCCCCATTACCATATATAGAATTATCATGTATAGGGCTTTCTTGTTCTCCACTCACCTACTCCCGTAGCTTCTCCTATATAAACACCATTGTATTATTTTATTACTCACTCAATAACATATATGTTTTCATATATTCTCTTTCTCTCTCTTTCTCTTTCAACATGGTATTAGAGCGGAAATCGATCCCTCTTTAAATTTTTTTTTTAGTCTTATTCAGCCTCCGATCTTAATTCCATCTCGGCTTTCTCTCAATCTCTTCTCGGCAATCTCTCCTCGGTAATCTCAGTTCACGTCTCAGCAATCTCTCTCGGATCCCTCCTCGGCTCTTTCCTCGATAATTTCTCTCAGGTTCATCTCAACTAGATCTTGGTTTTCTTATCTCGGCTCCCTCTCGCTACTATATCTCATTTGTTCGGCAGCTCTTGCGATGGATACTAAGGAATCCCATCTTCTTAGATCAATCACCATCACCAATAAAGCTTGAGCGTGCAAATCAGCCCTCCTCCACCGCTACTATCGTTACTTCAGGTAATATGTGTCTCCATGCTTCATCTTCTACACCTTGGATCACTGATTCAGGGGCATCCGATCACATGACAGGTAACCCAACTCTTCTTTCTGATATTTCTCATGTTTTCTCACCATTGGTTGTTACTATAGCAAATGGTGCCAAATCAACTGTTCATGGAATTGGTACCTTCCGCACTTCGGGTCTCACTTTTTCATCAGTTTTATATATCCCTCAATTTTCATTGAATTTATTGTCAGTTCGCAAAAACATATCAGATTTCAATTGCTCGGTTACTTTTTCTCCTTCCCGTTGCGTCTTTTAGGATCTCAAGACAAAAAGGACGATTGGTGGGGGGTTTGAGAAGGATGGTCTTTACTACTTCCAGCGAACTACTGCTCCAACAGCTCTACATTCCACCTCCTCTTCAGCTTACCAGTGGCATTGCCGCCTTGGACATCCCTCTTCAAATAGTCTTCGAGCCTTGGTCCCTTCTTTACTTGATTTTTCTAAGTTTAATTGTACTACTTGCAAACTTAGTAAACATCGTCGAGCTACTTTTAAATCTCGCTTTGATAAAAGTTTAAAACCTTTTGAGTTAGAACATTCAGATGTTTGGGGACCAGCTCGTACTACTGGTTTATTTGGTGCTCGTTATTTTGTGTCATTTATTAATGATTATTCACGTTTAACTTGGGTTTATATTCTTAAAGATAGATCTCAAGTATTCTCTATTTTTCAATCCTTTTATGCTGAAATTCAAAATCAGTTTGATGCAAAATTACTTGTTCTTAGAACTGACAATGCCCTTGAATATAAACTTAATGTTTTTCAAAAGTTTTTTGAATCGGGGGGCATTATCCATCAAATATCTGGTGTTGATACCCCTCAACAAAATGGAGTTGTTGAACAATAGAATGGCCCACTCCTAGCTATCGCTCATGCCTTAATAATTCAAATGCATGTTCCAAAATATTTTTGGGCAGATGCAGTTCTGGTTGCTGCTTATCTTTTAAACCGCATGCCTTCTAGGGTCCTTTAAGGAAAATCACCCTTCCAAATGATGTTTTTTTAACAAAAATCCTTTTTTCCATTCCTCCAAAGGTGTTTGGGTGTGTTTGTTTTGTTCATAATCTAAGCCCGGGACAAGACAAACTTAATCCTCGTGGTCACAAATGTATTTTCTTAGGTTATTCTCGCACTCAAAAGAGATATAAATGTTACAATCCAACTCTTCGTAAATATTTGTGTGCGCAAATGTAACTTTTTTTGAGGATGTTCCTTATTATTCTCAAAAAGGCAGTCGTCTGGAGCACTCTTTTCTTCAAGAGTTTGTTCTTCTAACTCCAGTTTTTGATTCTGACATCCCACCAGCTCTTCGTGTTTATGCTCGTCGCCGGAAAAGAGTAGTTAATCATGTTCCAACAACTGAAGTAGTAAACCAAGCCTTGCCACTTCCACCAGTCGCTTCAACGCTTGGAGATTCTTCCATCTCTCCAGACTCTGATCTTGATCAGCCTATTGTTGTTCGAAAAGGTAAACGGTCTTGTACCAATCACCCCATCTCTAATTTTGAATCGTATAACAAATTGTCCTCCTCTTTTCAAGCTTTTTCTTTGTCATTATCCTCTATTGCTCTTCCTAAGTCCTACAGGGAGGCACTTTCTCATCCAGGATGGAGGAAAGCTATGGAAGAAGAAATAAACACTTTAAAATTGAATAATACTTGGCACCTTGTTCCTAAGCCTGCTGATACTCAGGTTGTTGGTTGTCATTGGGTTTTTACTGTTAAACAGAAGCCTGATGGTACTGTTGACCGTCTCAAAGCTCGACTTGTTGCTAAAGGCTATCGTTAGACTTATGGCCTTGATTATACTAAGATGTTCTCTCCTGTGGCCAAACTGAATTCTGTTCGTGTGATAATCTCTCTTGCAACTAATTTAGACTGGCCACTTCATCAACTTGATGTTAAAAATGCCTTTATGCACGGTGACCTTAATGAGACAGTCTATATTAAGTATAAGGGGAGTGTGTGTGTCATCTCAACAAGTCTATCTATGGCCTCAAACAGTCCCCTCGTGCACGGTTTGATAAGTTCAGTAATAAGTTCAGTAAAGCAGTGGTAGCTCATGATATGACCAGAAGTCAAGCTGGTCTACTCTATCTTTTTTAAGAAAATAAAATGTGGTAGTGTGATTCTTGTGGTGTATGTAGATGATATTAGGGGTGTTCAAAAAATCTGGTAAACCGAAAAACCGGACCGGATCGGACTGAATTGGACGATTTGGGCTAGTAGTATAGCGGTTTGGTTCGGTCCTGGACCCAAAATTATAGAACCGTAATTTTTTGATCCGGTCCTGGTTTAGGGTCCTGTTGGATCGGACCGGCCCAGACCGAACCGTTACTATGTTATATAATAATATAATATATATATGTATATATGTATATCATACCCTAAACCTAAATCAAGTAAAGTTCTCACGTCTCACGTGCCCCTCTTTTTCTTTCTTCAGCTCTTTAAACTCCTTAAATTTCTTTTAAAAAAAAGTCAAATTTCCCTTTTCATTTTCTTTCCTTTCAAATATATCTCAATTTTCTTTCCTTTTTTCTTCTTAAAATTCTTCTTTTTGTATGTTATATCAACGTTAGTTGATTTTTTTTTTTTTTTTTTGTAAACTATGCCCCCTCTGAATTAAAATAAAATAAGAAGGAAATAAACCGACAAATTAAACCGAACCAAACCGGTCTTTTGCAGTTTGGTTTGATTTGGTTCCATGGGCATTATGGTTCGGTCTAGTTTCAAAAATAGTAGAACCGTTATAAATGGTTTGGTCCCAAAAACTCTCAATCCGGTCCAAACCAGACCATGTGCACCCCTAGATGATATTGTATCACCGACAATGACAAAGATGGGACATAAGTTCCAATCTATCACTTGAGTTCTAGCTTCCTTACTAAGGATTTGGGCAAACTTCGGTATTTTCTAGGAATTGAGGTGGCTCGGTCAAAGCAAGGCATTATTAGTCTTTCTCAGCGGAAGTATACTCTTGATACCGGATATCTTGGTTCGAAACCTGTAACTACACCCATGGAGACGAATGTAAAACTTAAGGTGGATGATGGTGACCCACTCGATGATCCAGAGATTTATCGAAGGCTTTTAGGTAAACTTATTTACGTCACAAGCACTCGTCCAGACATCTCCTTTGCAGTCAGTGTTGTGAGCCAGTTCATGACCAGTCCTCGGGTACCTCACATGGAGGCAGTTGTAAGCATCTTGAAGTATCTCAAGGGTGCTCCGGGACGTGGTCTGCTTTATCGATCTTTTGGACATCTTCGGATTGAGGGACATACAGATGCAGATTGGGCCGGTTCTCTTTCTGACGGTCCACAACGGGTTACTACACCTTCATATGAGGAAATCTAGTAACTTGGAAGAGTAAGAAACACTCAGTTGTGGCTCGTTCCAGTGCTGAAGCAGAGTATCGTGCCATGGCACCCACTGCCTGTGAACTTACTTGGTTGAAAACTCTGTTACAAGAACTTGGGATTTTAATCCAGTACCCAATTCCTCTCCATTATGACAATCAGGTAGCTATTCATATTGCTAGCAATCTAGTCTACCATGAGAGGACTAAACACATTTAAGTAGATTGCCATTTCATTCGATCTAAAGTTAACTTGAATGAGATTGTTACACCTTTTGTTCCTTCTAGTAGACAGAAAGCAAACATCTTCACTAAGGCGCTTCCCAAGAACTCTATTGATTCTATATGTAGCAAGCTAGAAGTTATTGACATTTACTCTCCAGCTTGAGGAGTGTTGTACAGTATTGTATAAGTTATCACGTGTGTACAGTAAGTATTGTATGAGTTGTCATCTACCCCTCATTACCATATATAGAATTATCATATATAGGGTTCTTGTTCTCCACTCACTCACTCTCCAAGCTTCTATATAAATACCATTGAATTATTGTTTTACTTGCTCAATAACATATACATTTTCATATATTCTCTTTTTCTCTCTCTTTCAATAACAATTAGCAATATTCATAGACAAAATAGTTATACCCATTTTCGTTCAAAATTTCTACCTTCCACCATTTAATTACACAACGAAGAAAAAAGGGCAACAAGATTATTTTGTTACTCCCTCCGTCCCAAAATAAGTATCACTTTTGTGGACTTC